CCTTCCCTTCCCTTCCCTTCCCATTTTATTTGCCAAGTTCTCTTTCTCATCAGCCTGTCCCATACCCCAATGACATCTTTCTCCCAAATACCCTCAGGGCTGCTTCATGCTAGACCCCAAAGCAAGTCCTGGACACACGTGTTGCAGGAGATAAACTCCTTCCAATGAACCCCTCAGGGTTTTTCAGCTTTTCTCTTTTGCAGTTTATGCACTGCCTCCTTTCTGTCCCCTCACAGGATCAAAACTAGTGGTCCCTGAAGAGTTTGGGGACGGTGTGCAGCCTTTCTTCCTCCCCAGTTTGAGAATAGCCTGCCATCATCCCGTGCTTTTTTTTTTTTTTTTTTTGTGAAGAGCAGTAATATGCTGGGAATTGGCAGTCACCAGTGAGGCTACAGGTGAAAATGCAACCTGAAGCGCCTTCAAGGAGCTTAATTGTGGTAGAGGCAAGCAAGGGAATTGAAGTAAACCCTTTAAGGCAAAGAAAAAGTGCACTGGAAAAATGTGTCTAGTGTATTAGTCTGATTCACTGTGAAAACTCTCCCACCCATGATCTTAATCTAGAAGGTAGATAGGAATTTATATGGTTTGGAGACACTTTCTAGGGAGCAAGCTGCTAGAGTGAGGCATTTTAAAAGGTTTGCCCGTACTTAGGCTCTTGTTAGTGACTGCCTTTAAAGAAGTGACTGGTTCCTGAAATGGGAATCATGATCCTACCTGAACTCAGTTCTTATTTCCATGTGCAGTCTGAATGCCTCCCATAAAGTTGTGGTGGATGCAGCAGAAAAATACATGATTTGTGCTCCTTTTGTGTCGGCAATTCAGCACCAGCACAGTTTCAGCTCTGAAATATCAAACATGTATGTTGGGAGATGGTGCTTCCTTTGTGAATAGTCCTACAACTGCAATATGAAAACATAGGGCTTGTCATGAATCTGAGTGATATAAAAAAAGCCAATGAAAAAATCCTCTTGGAGTTTTTCTGTGCTCATTATGTGAATTAGACGAAAAATATGTTTTTTAAAAATACAGCACACTAACAGAGAAGGGATGGTCATTTATTCAAAATTTCTCCTAAGTGTCCTCTACTTTTGCAACTTGGTTATATGAGCTCTCTCTGTAGAAAATCCTAAGGGGCTAGGTTTCAAAATCATTTTTGTATAGAAATTGTACCTAGAGCACTTTCAATTTGTGAGGTCATGTTCAGTGATTCATGGCTAATCCTTAGGGGCATATTGGCTGTAGAGCAGTTTCGGTTAAAAGTTTCATTAAATGCTCAAATGATGTTCTACAAGCAATGTTGAGGGTTGATGATACTCTATGATTAAATTTTTAAACTTGCATTCATTTTTTTTCCTCTGTTACTATAGAGCGTCCATCAAGTCGTCTGGACATCTGAGGTATTTTAAAAGACACTAGTGTCACTATGGAGAGAGAGAGAGAGAAAGGAGGTTGCTCTGGTGTGTGTAGCACATTCCGTGAATAAAGAAGGCTTGTGCCCTGATTCTCCATTGCTCTGCACCTTGCAAAGTTATTGGTATTTGAATAAAAAGGTTGCAAAATGATCTTGTATCACTAGGGCAACTACAGGTTGAAGCAACACGTGATTACTGCTGTAGGTTCCATCACTGGGGTTATCTTTTTGCCTGATAACTTCAGCTCAGTTTAACTGTCATGGATTTTCTCCAGTGAGAGACATCAAACAGATTTGGTTTCTAAGATACCAAAAGGTACATCTTCAAATCAACATTGTACTGTTCATGCACAGAAAGCCGCACAAATGAAGTTAGTCTTCTGTGAAAATAGTTCTAGCTGTGATTTCTGGGCAAGCTGTAGTTTCACCACATTTTTATTAGCATACTCTTAAAATAAAAGTAATCCACCTATGAAGGAAAAAAGTCAGAGCCCTTGGTGTAGTACTATTTTGTTGATTTTTTTTAAAAAAATGTCATTAAAACTGCAGGGAAATTCAGATTGATTTGTGCAATGTATTTGTGTGCTTGTGATAATCCATCTTAAATTCCAGGAGCGAGCCCTTAATTCTAAGCCTTGTAATACATTAAACTCTGAAACTCAGGCACTGAGAATATAATAATTTATTAATAGGATAAAATGATCAGGAAGTATTAAAAGATCTGAATTTTTAATACTCTTATTAGCCTTTGTGCAAGAGATGAATCAGTTGTCTTGATGTATTAATAAAATAATAGTGCAGATGTTCACTCTTCATAAGAGTGTATTGTAAACTAACTGGTTGGGATAGGTTGGTTAAAATACTACTCTCATAGCTGTGTTAATTCCCAGAGTATAATTTTTTTGAGAAACTGTCAGAAGACGGTTTCTACAACTCTCAATCGTGATCCATCCACAGATACTCAACAACAGCTAATGTGAACATCCTGTTGCAAAAACAGCCTGAGGTTGGGTAGATGCAAAGCCAAGGGAGATATCTAAAATTTCTTCAGATAAGTGTGGCAATTTACTCAGAAAGTAGATTCAGATTTTAGTTACATAAAATAACATTTATTTGTTTGATTTGTTATTGCAGTTCTAGAAAGGTTGAAGAGGATGAATACGAAGATGGAACACCTAACCAAAAATGGGTTTTAGCTCCAAAAACACAAGACACAGATGTGACTCTCATACTAAACAAGCTCTTGAGAGAGTATGACAAAAAGCTACGACCAGATATTGGAAGTAAGTACTCCTTTCTACACAAGTGAGGGGAAGAACCATGGGTGCAGAAAAGATGTTATGGTTTGATTAGCATGCACAAATGTCTGGGAAAGTGGAGACTAAGTTTTTTTGGCTGAAGTTCATTTGCAAGTCAGTGTTTAAAGAAATGGTAATTATCCCAGGAAGATGTAGTGGTAACTTAGGGCATTGAACTCTGGTTTGCTTGTACAGAGGTTGTGTAGAGATATGGAAGGGCTAGCTCGGAAGTGTTGAGCAGATCTTTGACAGAGTTAGGAATGATGATTCTCTCATCATCCAATCCATGCATATGAAAAACTCATGCTCTGAGAAGCTCTCAAACCTCCATTATATTAAAAACAAAAAGTAGGACACAGCAGGAGAAGAACGTGCATCTACTGTCCTCAAAAATGTCATCATGAAAGTTATGTGACTCGATGCTGAGAAGAAAGCACTTGGATTTGCCTGTGCATTGGGCAACCCTAGAGATTTTCTTCCACAAGCCATCAGACATCTTATCTGCAAAGGCAAACTGACAGAATGATAGAAGTGTCTTGTGGGCAGTATTACTACATGTAAATATAAAGTTTAGATAAGAGCTAGTATCTGGATATAACCATTTTGAGTTCCTCTCCCCTCTCCCCTCTCCTCCCCTCTCCTCCCCTCTCCTCCCCTCTCCTCCACTCT